CCTCAAACCTACCCTTTATTTTCCTTGCTTTATGATGCCAGGGCTGGAGACTCTACAAACCACATGTGATGTTGGCCAACTCCTGCTCTATAAAATATATCCAGCATGACCAATTTGGAATGCCTGGTTTTTCGCTTTTTATTATATTTTTTCCTGGGATTTCCCCACATTGCCACCGTGAGTGAGAGAAAACAGTTAACTTAGTGTCTTTCCCATACGAAGGTTTTGAACACAAACACATACACTCAATAGGTATCTTTTTCCTTCAGTTTCCCAAGCAGCAGGCAGAAATGATTTATGCTGGTGCAGCTTTAGAAACAGATATTTAAAAATGGGTTTTAAAGATTTGGTGGGATAAGTATTAATTTGATTCAATGGCTAAAGTTATATGTCTCTGGCCTTTATTTACTGAATCTCAGCATCCTATAAAGGTTTTATGTGTGATCAAAGAAAGAAAATAAGGGCCGGGCACGGTGGCTCACGCCTGTAATCCTAGCACTTTGGGAGGCTGAGGCGGGAGGATTGCTTGAGCTCAGGAGTTCGAGACCAGCCTGAGCAAGAGCGAGACCCCATCTCTACTATCAACAGAAGGAAACTGGCCAAACAACTAAAAATAGAAAAAATTAGCCAGGCATGGTGGCGCATGCCTGTAGTCCCAGCTACTTGGGAGGCTGAGGCAGGAGGATCACTTGAGCCCAGGAGTTGGAGGCTGCTGTGAGTTGGAGGCTGCTGATGCCACAGCACTCTAGCCAGGGCAACAGAGTGAGACTCTGTCTCAAAAAAAAACACACAAATATTTTGACCTAGTCATGTAACTTGGGGAATCTATCCTATACCAATAAAAGCATATTTAGGGGATGGTCATGCTTGAGGCTCTGACTCGAGGGGGAGGGGGACAAGGGCAATATACGTAACCTTAACACTTGTACCCCCATAATATGCTAAAAAAAAAAAAAAAAGAGCACTGATATATAAAGACATGTGTACTCAGATGTTTAGCATTTTTTAAGGCGGCAAAAATTGGAAACAACAGAAACAACACAGAATCCGTTTAATAAAGTTTGGGACATTCATTCTTGGAATATTGCGTAGCTATGGAGAAGCAGACCTGGGGCGATGTCCATGAAGTATTTGTTGAGAAAGCAAGTTCCAGAGAAATCTATTAGCACATTATATTCCCACCTGCCCCTCATACTAGGGATATGAGTTCTATATGTTGGCGAATGGAAAACGATATAGAAAGATACAAACCAGGGCAGTTCACATTGTCTAGTTAAGGGAGTAGGAGGAGGTGGAGGGAAATTCTGAACTCTTTCTTTATACATCTTTGGATAGTTTCTCCTTATCATTATTTTTAAATGAAAAAAAAAAAAAACCAAACAAAGAATATTCTTAGAGGTCAAGAAAGGCCTAATCTGAGGCAGAGCGCGGTGGTTCACACCTGTAATCCTAGCACTCCTGGAGGCCGAGGCGGAGGAATCGCTCTAGTCAGGAGTTCGAAAACCAGCTGAGCAAGAGTGACGACTCCATCTCTATTAAAATAGAAAGAATTAATTAGCTATTAAACTATATAGAGGCCGGGCGCGGTGGCTCACGCTGTAATCCCCAAGCATCTGGGGCGAGGCACGTGGATTGCTTGAGGTCAGGAGTCAGAAACCGCTGAGCAGGAGTGAGGGGGAAAAAAAAAAAAACCCCGTCTCTACTAAAAAAATAGAAAGAAACTTAATTGGCCAACTAATATATATAGAAAAATAGCTGGGCATGGTGGCGCATGCTGTAGCTCCCAGCTACTCGGGAGGCTGAGGCAGGAGGATCGCTTGAGCCCAGGAGTTGGAGGTTGCAGTGAGCCTCTCAGTCCCAGAAACATGCAAGTGTTTGGAAGGAATTCCAGGTGTTCTGCTTTTCCTGTGAGCATCGTCTCTGATTACCAGGGTTAAGGCAAACGTGCTAATTCAGTTTATGTCCTCATTTCGAAATATTGCCTTGGAATCTTTCCAGGATAGGGTTTGCTGCAGAGGAGTGGGACTTGTTGACGCCAGCATGGTCCTCACTACTGGCAAAGTGCAGACGGCTCACCAGGCCTTGGCGACCGTCAGAATTACCCCTGCAGGCTTCAAGAGTGCTGGAGAGCAGGCTTGCCCTGAGTTCTGCTGCTACTAAGAACCCTCGGGCAAGACAGGCTGTCGTCTTTGAACCTCAGTTTCTCTGTTTAACAATAAGGGAGTGTAATATCCATTTCTATCCAAAAAGGAGTTCGACGCTTAAATTGGATTGAAACAATGTATGAGCTGAAATATAAATCTGTATTCTTCTTCTTCTTTTTTTTTTTTTGAAGACGGATTCTCACTTTGTTGTCCAGGCTAGAGTGAGTGGTCGTGGCGTCAGCCTCGCTCACAGCAACCTCAAACTCCTGGGAATCAAGCCCAATCCTCCTGCTCAGCTCCCCAGTAGCTTGGGACTACAGGCATGGCCACCATGCCCAGCTGATTTTTTCTATATATAGTTAGTTGGCCAATTAACTTTCTTGTATTTTATAGTAAGACGAGTCTCGCTCCTTGCTCAGGCTGGTTTTTGAACTCCTGACCTTGCAGTGATCCCTCCCGCTTGCCTCCCAGAGTGCTTAGGATTACAAGGCGTGAGCCACCACGCCCGGCTTAAATCTGTATTTTTTTTTCTTTTTTTTTTTTTTTTATTCTTTGTGGATAATTTTTTTTTTATTTATTTTTTATTTTTTATTTCGGCCAGATTATGGGGGTACAGATTATAAGGTTTCAATAAATGCCCCTTAAATCTGTATTTTTACAGTCCTGGTTACAAGGAGAGGGTGAGAAAACAAATGGCCTGTTTATTTAGGCCAGGGATTTTGCAAGTGCTTTGACATGGTGCAAACTAAGAAATACATTTTATGTTGTAATATGGAAATGTGTAGAAGTTTTATGAAATGATACCTTCATAAGTGGTACAGGGTGATGATGCCTTAACATATTTTCTGTTCTGTGTTTTAAAATACACCATGCTGGCTGTAAATCCCTACATGAATTCCAGGACTCACTGACAGGTCCATGGGTTGGCAGTTTAAAAACATGCTTTGGGTCACCCATGTGGAATCACATTACTGAAGGTCGAGGACAAATCAGCACAGTAATCAGAAATTGATTTTTGCTTGTTTCTTGGAATCTGTAGAACATTTTTTTTTTTTTTCTGTTCTTCTGTCCCTTCCCTCACTCCTTTCCTTCAACACCCTCCCATTGACCAGTGGTTTTTGGAAATAGTTCTCTGGGTCTGCCTTGGTATACAGTCCCCAAAACTCAAAGGGGAGTTTTAGTTCCCCTGGGAGTGAAGGTTTAGCTGGGGTTGGGTAGGCAAGCACTGAAGTTATTCTCTGCCAAGATTTCTTTTTTTATTATTATTTTGAGACAGAGTCTCACTCTGTTGCCCAGGCTAGAGTGCTGTGGCATCAGCCTAGCTCACAGCAACCTCACAACTCCTGGCTCAAGCGATCCTCCTGCCTCAGCCTCCCGAGTAGCTGGGACTACAGGCATGGCCACCATGCCGCTAATTTTTTCGTATATATTTTAGTGGCCCAATTAATTTCTTTGTACTTTTAGTAGAGACGGGTTTCTTGCTCTTGCTCAGGCTGGATCTGAAACTCCTGACTTGAGCAACTCCTCCCGCCTCGGCCTCCCAGAGTGCTAGGATTATAGACGTGAGCCACTGTGCCCGGCCCTCTGCCAAGATTTGTCAATAAAGTCACATGCTCCAGGACACGTGGGCCACCCTGGCTTCTCACTGTGTAAGAAACTATCCCTAGAGAACTGCAGAGAAGCGCAATGAGCTTTTCATGGGTATTGCTTGGAAATACTGTTCCTGAACCTCTCTCCCCGCTGGGCAACATTAACCGATAAGCCGTATACGTTAAAATGGGATTACTCCGCTGCTCACTGTTACCCTCTCTCTATTTTTTTTTTTTTTTTTTTTTTGATGCAGGGTCTCACTCCGTTGCCCAGGCTGGAGTGCCGTACGTGATCCCAGCTCACTGCAGCCTCCAATTCCGGGCTCAAGCGATCCTCCTGCCTCAGCCTCCCGAGTAGCTGGGACTACAGGCACGCCACCATGCCCTGCTAATGTTGTTATTTTTTGTAGCGTCGAGGTCTTGCTATGTTGCCCAGGCTGGTGTTGAACTCCTGGCCTCAAGTGATCCTCCTGCCTCAGCCTCCCCAAGTGAAGGGATTACAGGTGTGAGCCACAGCACCCGGCGCCTTCCTTTTTAAAACATAATTTATTGAGGCGAAATTTCACTGTTCCTTTGATGGTAGTGTGAGCTGTAAAGGACAGTACAGCTGGCGGGGGCTCTGCCCGGCCCCGGCCCCAGGCATTTTCAATACTGATAATCAGACTCTCCTCAAACCAGGTGGTTTCACGCCAGCTCCAATATGGGGGGGGGGGCGGCATCCTTCGGCCACATGGGGGAGCCAGAGGATGGCAGGGGACCCCACCTGGGTGGGAGCCCTTCAGTGGGAATTTTTATAATGCACCAGGGAGCGGGGGAGCCCCTTCTGTCCTCTGGGGTCCTTAAGCTGTGACAATAATGCAAGCTTGGAGCTGCCAGCGACATTGCCCAGTTCAGAGGACGCTTTCTAAAGTAGAAGAAAATGAGATCCATACGTTGAGAGCAAAGGGTGAAGGGTTAGAGGCTTTTTTTTTTCTTTTTTGAGACAGTCTCTCTCTGTTGCCCAGGCTAGAGTGAGTGCCATGGCGTCAGCCTAGCTCACAGCAACCTCCAACTCTGGGCTCAAGGCAATCCTCCTGCCTCAGCCTCCCACCAAGTAAGCTGGGACTATAAGCACGTGCCACCAATGCCTGCTAATTTTTTTCTATATAAATTATTGGCCAATGTAATTTCTTTTCCTAATTTTTAGTAAGAGGACGGGGGTCTCGCTCTTGCTCAGGCTGGTTTCGAACTCCTGACCTCGAGCGATCCTCCCGCCTCGGCCTCCCTCCCAGAGTGCTAGGATTACAGGCGAGAGTGGTCATGTTTTTTCACTTAAAGTTCCTCTTTGGTAGCAGGAGTTTGATGAATTTTTTTTTTTTTACTTCATAGGATAAGGATATTTGTGAGGCTAAACAACTCAAAATATATAAAAAGGACAAAAAGGACAAATGTAAATGTACAGTATAATTGTGAGGTATTGGAGCTGGCAAATGAGTGTTTTCTCTTCTGCAGACATGCTGAGAAGATATTGTCCTTCAAATAGACGATAATTGTGCCAGATAATGCCACTTAAAGGGATGAATTTCCAGGAGCAATAGCTAATATCGACTGAGCGCTAACTATGTATGTGGCAACCAGCCAAGTGATTTTGCCTGCATCACTTTCTTTGATCTTTACAACAATCCCATGCTACTTTTACCTTGCAGGGCAGGGGGCGGAGGCTTACAGCAGTGGTTCCCAATCTGGGGTGATTCCGGTCATGCCCCCCAACCCCCCAATCCAGAGGACATCTGGCAGTGTCTGAAGATGCTTTGAATTGTCCCAAAGGTGGGTAGCGGTGAGCTGGTGAGGTGGGGGGTGGCTGCCACCGGTCCCTAGTAGGTGGCGGCCAGGAATGCTACTAAATATCTTCCAAAGCACAGGCAGCCCATGTCACAGAGAATTATCTGCCCCAAATGTCAACAGTGGTGATGCCGAGAAACCCTGACTTACAGAAACCCAGCCAACCTGGCTAAGGAACTCCTACTCTTTTTTCCCCCCTCATTTAGAAAGTCATTCCAAAGCTGATGTATTAAAAGCATATCATGCTTTTCCACTTGGGGCCAGCATTCAGCAACATTCAGAGAGGAGAAATTTTTTGCTTTGATATTCCTCCCCCTGTACCTTTTTTTTTTTTTTTTGAGACAGAGTCTAGTTGCCAAGGCTAGAGTGAGTACCGTGGCGTCAGCCTCCTTCACAGCAACCTCAAACTCCTGGGCTCAAGCGATCCTCCTGCCTCAGCCTCCCGAGTAGCTGGGACTACAGGCATGTGCCACCATGCCCAGCTAATTTTTCTCTCTATATTATATATAATATAAATATATATTATCTATATTTTTCTACATAATTTTTTCTATATTTTTCTATATATTGGCCAATTAATTTCTTGTATTTTTAGTAGAGACAGGCACTTGTTCTTGCTCAGGCTGGTTTCGAACTCCTGACCTTGAGCGATCCTCCTGCCTCGGCCTCCCAGAGAGCTAGGATTATAGCTGTGAGCCACCGCGCCTGGCCGACACTCACGTTCTTTAACCACTGTGCTGTGTCGTCTCTACCGAGGGTGACACGCCTGCTCACACGCACATGTGCACACACACACCCGCGAACACACGTGCACACACACTCAGAGCATGATCGTTCAGCATGGTCGCTCTTCCTGTTTCTCGGGTTCCCTGCTAGGGCGCTGCTAACTAACGCAGGGCAGGGACTGCCGGACGTCCTCCTGAAACCCCTGCCACCCACCTTGTTCCAGATGAGGACAGGCGTTGGGATCCCAATGACCTCGCAGCTCAGGTACACCTGCGCGCCCGTGACGTTCCAGATGTCCTTGGGGGGCGTCACTATGGAGGGACCTGCGACAGAGGGCAGAAAGCAAAGACATCTATTATTATTATTATTATTATTATTTTGATGACAGAGTCTTGCTTTGTTGCTCAGGCTAGAGTGATGTGCCGTGGCGTCAGCCTAGCTCACAGCAACTACAATCCTGCGGCTCAAGCGATCCTCGCTGCCTCAGCCTCAGCCGGGTAGCTGGGACTACAGGCATGCGGCCCATCCGCCATCGCCGGCTAATTTTTTTTTCTATATATATTAGTTGCCAATTAATTTTTTTCTATTTTGTAGAGACGGGTCTCGCTCTTGCTCAGGCTGGTCTCGAACTCCTGATCTTGAGCATTCTCCCGCCTCGGCCTCCCAAAGTGCTAGGATTACAGGCGTGAGCCACTGTGCCCAGCTTAAAGGAGCTTTAATTGACCAGCTGTTTTGTATTACCTGAGACTTTCCTATTAGTATAGTGCAATAGGTGGCTGTGTTCCAATAAAACTTTATTTAACAGACACTTGTATGTACTTTGGAGTTGTTTCGTGGTAGGCTCGGATGTGGTGGTGGTGGGGTGTTGGTCATGAAATCCTATCCTTCTTTTAATTTTTTTTGAGAGCAGAGGCTCCTCTGTTCTGTTCTCAAAATGTTTAATGTTTCCAAACGTTTAATGTTTTTCTTCTTTGCTTTACCATTATTTCTATTTTTTCCCCCCCAGGGGAGGGGAGGGAGGCAATAGACAACCACTCCTTGGATAATGAAAGAAAAAAAAAGAAAATTTTCAGAGGATGTTTGGAAATGTGTGGGCGCCCAGGCAAGATGGCCGCCCAGACAAGATGGCCGCCCTTGCCTTCAGCTTAGGCTGTAAGGCCGACAAGGCAGGGCCATGAGGCCTGGCTGAAGAGAAAAACGATGGGTGCTGTGTGTTTTTGGGGACAAGAAGGGGCACCTTTGAAAAGATGGAGCCTGGGTGTGAAGGAAGAGGGGTGGGGAGGTGTCACTCTGGCCTCCATCAAGCGTCCTTCTCCCAGGGCAGGTTTGGAGAGGCAGCTGGGGAGAGGGAGGAGTGACCGGTCCACAGTGTGGGGCTCGGTCCCCCAGGAAAAGGCCCTTTCCCAGGGTTCTCAGTGTCCAGTTCCCTGGCAGGGGACGCTGGCAAATGGCGTAGGCACTAAACAGAGTCAGCAGGTGTGGGACCACTTGATGGAGGCCAGAGTGACACCTCCCCAGCCCTTCCAACTCTGGAACACGCCCCTCCCCTTTGTATGACCGCTCCCCTTGTCTTTTTTTGGTATTATTATTCTTTATTTCTTTTCTTTTTCTTTTTTCAAAGACAAAAGTGTGAGCAAATCACAGCTTCCCTTTGGAAAGAAGGTCCTGACTCAGAATCAATCTCTGTTACGTGCATCCTTTCTGCTACTAAAGCCGTGTGACACTCTGGTCCTGGGCTTAGCAAACTACGGCCTGTGGGCCGAATCTGGCTCGCCACCTGTTTTTGCATGGCCTGCAAGTCAAGAATGGTGTTTGGGCCGGGCGCGGTGGCTCACACCTGTCATCCTAGCACTCTGGGAGGCCGAGGTGGGAGGATCGCTTGATTGAGGTCAGGAGTTCGAGACCAGCCTGAGCAAGGGCGAGACCCCGTCTCTACTAAAAATAGAAAGAAATTAATTGGCCAACTAAAAATATATATAGAAAAAATTAGCCGGGCATGGTGGCGCATGCCTGTAGTCCCAGCTACTGGGGAGGCTGAGGCAGAGGATCGCTTGGCCAGGTTGGAGTGCTGTGAGCTAGCTGATGCCATGGCACTCACTCTAGCCGTGCAACAGAGTGAGACTCTGTCTCAAAAAAAAAAAAAATTAAAAGGAGGATATGATTTCATGATGTGTGGATAAAGTGTAAGAAATTCATGTCTCAGTGTCCGTTAAATAAAGTTTTATTGGCACACAGCCACGCCCATTTGTTGGCGACTGTCCCAGGCTGCTAGAGCAGCTATGGCTGAGGCTGTCTGCCCTAAGAGGTCATTGTCTGGCCCTTTACATAAAAAAAATTTGCTGATTCCAGCTCTGACCAACTGAAGGGAGACTGATGCCTAAATTAGATATTATGGGGACATTGCAAGGACTTTAATGCCTTATGCATTCCCTGGAGCTGATACAAGTAAACCCCCTGGGTGATTCCTGGTTCTCTGAAACGCGACACTTTTGAGCCAACAGATACTGAGGGAGCACCTTTGCCCGCTGCTCCTTTCTCCTCGGGGGCCCGCCCCACTTCTGCAGTGGAAGAGACACGTACACCCACGTTTTGGTTACTGATTCTGAGAGCCGGGGTTCAGCCACCTCAGAGAGACCTTGGACAGCCACAGAGGAAGGGACGCAGAGCTGGGAGCCCTGGTGGCCCGTGTGGGACAGCGTGTACTCCAGAGCCACACCTGGCCCTTACTTGAAGTCTCTTTCTTCTTTTCTTCTCCACTCTGTTGCCAGGTACAGGCCGTGGGTCAGCCTAGCTCACAGCAACCTCAGACTCCTGGCCAGCGATCCTCTGCCTCAGCCTCCCGAGTAGCTGGACTACAGGCATGCGCCACCATGCCCGCTAATTTTGCTCTATATATTTTTATGGCCAATTAATTTCTTTCTATTTTTAATTTTATTTTTTGAGACAGAGTTTCACTTGTTGCCCAGGCTAAGTGAGTGCCTTGCATCAGCCTACCACAGCAACCTCCAACTCCGGCTCAAGTGAACCTCCTGCCTCAGCCTCCGAGTTGGACTACAGGCAGCACCACTATGCCGACTAACTTTCTATAATAGATTGGCAATTAATTTTTTCTTATTATAGTAAGTACGGGGTCTGCTCTTGCTCAGCTGGTTTCGAATCCTGATCTCGAGCAATCTCTTCCTCCTCGCCACCCAGATGCTAGAATTACAGCGTACGAGCCACCTCGCCTGGCCAATTTCTTTCTATTTTTTTTTTTATAGACACCTGGTCCGCTCTTCTCCAGGCTGGTCTCGAACTCCTGACCTTGAGCCGATCCTCCCCTCGGCCTCCCAGAGTGCTAGGATGACAGGTGAAGCCACAGACACCAGCTCAGCCATTTCTTGAAGGAACCGAGTTAATATTCCTCTGAATCGCAAACTCCTGCTGCCTGGATCTCGGCGCTGTGAAAACTTAACTGCAGGGCATCTTGCTCAGATCCTGGAAAGGGACAACCTTTCCCCCTCCAGCCTGAAGTCTCCTGGCATACATCGCTCAGAGGACACGAAGTCTCCCCTTTTGCAACAGGGCTATTTCCAGCACACTGCCATTTCTTGAAACAGAAAGGAAATGACCCCGCTCTGCAAGATTTTCCCACTCAGCTGCAGTAGTAGATGATGTTTTAAAATCCCTCGGGATATTTTTTGTTTTTTTCCCCCTCTTGCAAGAATGCACAAAACAATCAAAGTCTGGAGAGCTCCAAATAAGTTTCTGCGCTTCCTTCCCTCCAGACCAGGGGTCTGAGTGGGGAGCCTGTTATCCTGGCCGCAGGGCTTGGCTTTTCTGCTGTTTGGGTTTCTGTCCCTGTCGCAGACATTTCCTAGTCTGGATGCGCCCCATGGGAACCCTGCAAAGGGTGAGGCCTCACCCCTGTCCCAGGCTTTCCCCAAGGCCCTGGGACCCCAGGGGCTTGGACACCCCCCAGCCGGATCTGGCTGGACTTTGAACTGCCTTTGTCCCCTCCCCAGGCCCTCCCCCCTGGAGCCCTTGTGCGGCTCTGTCCTTCCCACACACAGACTTGGCAGGGGGACCTCAGCGCTCAGGGGTCTCAAGGGATTGTTCTCAGAAGAAGAAAACCAGGGCTCAGAGGGCTGCAGGGGCTTGGGAACAGAGCTGCCTGTCCTGTCTCCAAACCACACAAGGGACGCCACGTGGTTTTACCGTGAGGATCCGAGTGCCTCAGCCTTGCAAAAAGCCACTATTTTTTTGTTGTTTGTTTTTTGAGACAGAGTTTTGCTCTGTTACCCGGGCTAGAGTGCTGTGGCATCAGCCTAGCTCACAGCAACCTCAAACTCCTGGGCTCAAGCGATCCTCCTGCCTCAGCCTCCCCCGCCCGAGTAGCTGGTACTACAGGCATGCGCCACCATGCCCGGCTAATTTATATATATATATTAGTTGGCCAATTAATATCTTTCTATATTTTAGTAGAGATGGGGTCTTGCTCCTGCTCAGGCTGGTTTCGAACTCCTGACCTCAAGCGATCCTCCCTCCTCAGCCTCCCAGAGAGCTAGGATTACAGGCGTGAGCCACCGCGCCCGGCCCACCAGATGGTTTTACTGTGAGGATCCGAGTGCCTCAGCCTTGCAAAAAGCCACTATTTTTGTTTGTTTGTTTGCTTGTTTTTAGACAGAGTGTCACTCCGTCGCCCGGGCTAGAGTGAGTGCCGTGGCGTCAGCCTAGCTCACAGCAACCTCAATCTCCTGGGCTCAAGCGATCCTCCTGCCTCAGCCTCCCCCGCCCGGCCTCCAGCGGGCCTCCCGCCTCGGCCAGCCTCCCAAGTAGCTGGGACTACAGGCATGCGCCACCATGCCCGGCTAATTTTTTCTATATATTTTTAGTTGGTCAATTAATTTCTTTCTATTTATAGTAGAGACGGGGTCTTGCTCTTGCTCAGGCTGGTTTCGAACTCCAGATCTTGAGCAATCCTCCTGCCTCGGCCTCTCAAAGTGCTAGGATTACAGGCGTGAGCCACCTCGCCTGGCTAGCCCTTTTGGTTTTGATATATCTAGTCTCTTGCAAGGGCAAGTCAGATCAATACATGGTTAGAGGAATATTTACATGACTGACAGACCTCCTAGAGTAATGGAGGCACGTTGGCCTCCCCTGACTTCCCATATGGGAAGAATCCACAGGAGTTCAGCCTTCTTCCCACTCTCTTTTTTCAGAGCTGATACCTACTAGGACATCTACTTACTAAGCTCTGCTAGGTTCTTTTTATTTTTTAGTTATATTTGCTTTTTTACCACATAGATGGATTTCGAATGCCAATCTGCTAGGTTCTTTGCCACCTTTCCTGGTCTGGAAATTTCCCCAGAGTGTGCAGGTACGTTCCTCACTTACCTGGAGACACTCTCAATAAAGG